TATAACATTCTCCTTTTTTTATTAAAAAAAATACATCCCTCGTTGAGGTGGATTGGTATTTGGCATTGTATTGACATCCTTACTTACTATGGGCCCTATATTAAGCTAAAATAGTGGTAAATTAATAGTTATTCTTATCTTATTTATTCATCTAAAAGAAGATAAGCAACCTTATTTCTTAGCCTGCTCAGTACTCTTCTTAATTTCACATTTGCTTTTGGGTAAATCTTTGTTTTATCTTTTTATTTTCCTCTCCCTCTATATTAAAATAACCAGTTAAATACTTAAACTGGGTCCCTCAACTTTCAGTTTTGAACCAAGTTCATTTCTAAACTTAAAAAATTATTACATTTGTCCTTATACTTTATTTTCCCCCCGACCAAATTGATCCTTCCATCAATAGAAGTGCTGATATGGCACATTAAGCCGCCACAAATTCACTTTTTTTTTTTTCTTATGGTTTGAATTATTGCTATTTATATGTTGATGTTTGATTCCTAAGAATTGGATCCAAACAACAAACATTTTTCAATATATCATTCACGAAGATTATACATCCACTTGATAATTTCCATGCTTTAGCCAAATTTCTTCAGAAATTCAATTTCTTAGCTAAAATTATCATTTTACAGCATATTCTAAATAATTTCTAATAAAAATCAGACAATATATAAACAAAGGTAAGCTACAATGCAAAGAAATCTATTAACAGATCTGGCAAACAAAATACTGGATCTGATTCATAACGGCAGACACAAATTAGAAACAAATCGAATAAGAAAATCTTCATATAAAATTAAAATTGAAAAAAAAAAAAAAACCACCGAAACAGATCCGCAAAGATTCAAAAGAAAACACCGCTGCTTGACGTGAGTTCGAGGTAAACAAATCAAAAATTCAATCGCAATCGAAAGATTGGAGGATAAACGAAGCTTACTATTCGTTATTCATGGTCGTGGTACGTGTTGGAATAGGCCCAGCCCAACACCCAAACAGGGCTGGGCTATGCATAACGGGCCTAGGTTACCACCTATTAGCCCAAGCTGAAGGAGCATCGATGCAAGCATACCCACGTGACCAGCACCACGTGGGCCAATGGGGTGCTCACACGTGTAGATGTATGTCAGCACCAGGGGGCTATAAATACTCCCCAACTACCTCCGATGAAGGTAATTAATCTCTACGCTTCTCTCTCTGCAATTACTCCTTGAGAGCCTCTCTCTCTAAAGTATTGAGTATTGCTGACTTGAGCGTTGGAGTGTTTTCCCCGAGGAAACATCCTCGGGATTTTCAGGTGTAGAAGCAGCTGAAGACTTCAACAGTGCTGGATTGTGAAGCTGCCCAAACATTTGGCGCCGTCTGTGGGAAATCGAACAAGAAGTCGTGTGACTTAACCTGCTGAGAGAAAATGGTTCGTACCTTTACAGGAGGTCGCCCTCCAAGAAATGAAGTGGACGAACATGAGGACATACAAGTATCTGAGCCCGGGTTGAATGACTTTAGGCCAATGCCTAGAAATCTTTTTGTAGGGGGAGCCGAACAGGATCACCTAAGTGAGACAGATGATGAAAGAACACCAACTGGGTACGCAACCCAACCCGAACAGTTCCAAGTTCCAACAGGAACAAGACGAAGACCTTCTAGACCACACAATTCACAGCATGAACGGCCTGAAAGGTCAACAGAACCTGCTCGGACAACCGAGCTCGAAGAGAGAACTAGAGTTCTCGAAATGGCAATGGGTAAAATCCTTGCCCGCCTAATCCCTGATGACCCCTTGATTCCTTTGCTGAACAGGGATGCACAACCAGCTGTGGTTGTTGCAACTAGAAACTCCCCCGCTCTAAGCAATATAGTAGTGCCGACCAGGCCTAGGGGAAGTGGGAAATTGAATATCGAGCCCAGCCCGTCCAAATATAGTGAAGAATTGATGAGAAAGAACGCAGACCTTGAAAGGCAACTGCGGGATGTGCAGAAATCCATTGACGAGCTGAAAAGCCCCAGGTCGCACCAACGGACCTTGGATTTGGATAGTGCTCCGCTGAACCTATCCATCACAGCAGAACCATATCAAGAGGGATTCAAAATTCCCCACCTAGAGACATATGATGGCACGAAAGACCCGGATGAACATCTACA